TTAAAAGTTTCGTCTCGCGATTTCTCACCCAACTGTATAATTAGTTTTTTTTCGTCTACATTTAGTACTCCATACATATGTTGTAAGATTCGATGTGACAGATACTGCGCGAGATTCGATGTGAGTGGGAGGAGAGCGAATCGCAGATCCAAGTTGGAAGTGACCTGATCCCAGCGCTGCTAGCTGGGCCTGCTGATGGGGGCGTGCGAGGGACAGACAGCGCGTCGCTTGTTTATTCCTCCTCTGCTTCTCCTGGTCTCCCAGATGGTTGTTAGCTAGCGAAAGGACTAATTAAACCCGGTCGATGGCGACTAATCTATACAAGATCAGAGAATTTAAGAAAGGGATGTGGGTTGGAAGGGTGCTCGATCTCTCGTACGAGCATGGAACATGGTATGCGACGCGTGCGTGCACCTCGACATCCGTGCGTGCAATGCATGCGTGCGTGCACATCGCAGCTTCGAGGCATCTGCTGTGCAGAAAAGGTTTGACTCTCTCTGCAGGCATGTGGGGGGAGATTAGGGAAAGGACAGGCCCTTTTCAGGGCACTAGTAGCTTCATTATTCACTGATTAATCCACATGATCGAGTGTGTAATCTCAGCCAGTTTCGAGGCGATCGCTGCTGCAGATGTGTCGCCACTTCTCCATGCCTATAGTTTGTGCGTTGGGAATCCAAATGCCCCTCCAGCTGGTCACCTGCATGCACGTATAGCCGTGTATGGGTATATACTCATGCATGTAGGCTTGGTGGTGAAGAAGCTAGTAGCTCAATTTTTACCCCCTTAGTAAAAAATTTGACATTCTCGTATTTCAAAAAAAATCTTAAATTTAATTAAATGTATACAAAATATATTAATATTTATGATGCATAATAAGTATATATTAGATGAATAATGGAATATATTTTCATAATAATTCTATTTGGAGATAGAAATATTGATAGTTTTTTTATAAACTTAGTTACATTTAAAGAATTCTTGACTTAATTCAAACCTAGAATGATACTCTCAATCAGAATAAATATTAAGCATGGATTGGTTCGATCTTTTTGGAGCAAGAGCACATTTCTGCTCAACTTTTTGACAACAGATATAAAGCCCCAATTATTAAGTTTTGACAAGTCGTAACAAGCAGTGCTGGCGTTCAAAGCAAGTACAGTAATAGGCTTATAGCCAAGCTACTCAATATTTTTGCTGATGTGGAGGAGAGAAAAGAGGAGAGAGAAGAGAGCTAGGCTCACGGAAGGCATCTGTGGGCCCAAACAAAAGTAAATGTGAGGAGAAGTAGGAAAGAGAAAGTAAGACATGATACCACATAATAATAATAAAACTTTTTTTATAGATAAATAGAAGACAACTATTATATGACTTGGCTTTTATAACTTGACTTATAGCCAGACACTTGGATCTATTATTGACCTTGCTATGATCAATTAGATATATATGGCTAACCTACATGTATGATGTTGGCTGTACATTCCTAGCACTATAAAAAATAGTAAACATTTCATAATTTTTTCCTAAAGACCGGGATGGACACGATATATGCTCCACAAAAATTTTATTGCTAGCTCAACTTAATTAAAAATAGAGAGGGTTATTTTCCAACAATTTTCAGATGTGGTTCACATAAAGAACCACCTTTGAAAATACTACTACTAGTGGAGTAGTGGTGGTTCCTATCATGTGAAGAAGTGCCACTATAATGACAAGGTTTAAATTAAAAGGAGCAGTTATCCTATTGCTATATTATTAGCAACAACTCTTTGGTGGGATGCATGCATGGTAGGAAAGCCTCCTAACTTAGGGACGAATAAATCAATTTCTAGAATTTTCTTAAGTCAAACTTTTTTAAATTTAACTAAACTTATAGAAAAATTCACTTATGACATCAAATGAACAAATTATGAAAATATATTTCATAGTATATCTAATGTTATTAATTTGTTGTCATAAATTTTGGTGTTCTTTGCTATAAATTGAGTCAAACTTAAAAAATTAACTTAAAAAAAAGTCTAGAAATTGATTTATTCGGGGATGGAGGGAGAGACAGAAAATTAATGTCACCTGCTGAATTTGTTCTTGCAATAGCGTTATACACCTGTTCAAACGAGAATACACTTGTACGGGAAAAACACATGGGTTCAATGGCTAAAATCCACTACAAAACAGTCTATCAGCCTGTTCGCTTGTTGATTTCAGCCAGGGCTTATCAGCCAGTCAACAGTGTTTTTCTCTCATAACAAAACAACACCAGTCAAACTTATCAGCCCAGAAATCAACCAGCGAAAAAGCTGTATAGCTACTTCGAGCAAAGGTTGCTACAATGACGGATTGATTGTGATGTCATGACACAGACCTGCAATCAAATAACTTCAGGTAACAAAAACAAAAGACCTACTGTCGGAGACATCAGAATTCATTGTTTTCCGATGGCATGTTCCTGCAATACCTTCACCCCCTGGCCCTGTGTGGCCAATCGTCAGTAATAAAAACCTAGAGTTTGCTTGGCATATATACTATGCAGCTTTGACTTTTAAGGCAATAAATCTGGTTACATGTTATATAGTACTACTGTCTTTGTCCCTGGATAAATCAACTTCTAGATCTCCATCTTAATAAGTCAAACTTATCTATATATATTTGATCAAGTTTATATAGAAAAAAACACAAATATTTATGACCACAAATATTTATGTTTTAAAAAATATATAGTTTATGGTGCATCTAATAATATTAATTTGGTTCTATAAATCTTAGCGCTCTTTTTTATAAATTTAGTTAGATTTTAAAAAGAATTAACTTAGGACAACTATAGAAATTAGTTTATCTAGGGACGGGGAGTGTACTACTAGTAGTTTATTGCTAACATTTTTTTCCCAATATTCCGATAAGGCAGAGAAAGGCTATATCCTCCATGTTTGCAGCCGTTAAGGCGGTATATGCAGTATATATAGCCCAATTTAATTTAATTTAACTCAGAAAAGAAGTACAATTCAGAATATTTATTTATTTTTCTAAGAAATAAAAAGGTGTGTGGTGTGGTGAGCTCCTTGTACCTGTGCATCCCTATCCTTCTTTGTTTTTTCTATCCTGCCGATGTGAGAAAAAGCTCATCATTTGACACGAACTTCTCATGGTATGTATGAGATGTTCCATCCATCAAACTTTGGCTATGCATACTTTGGTCGGCCATGCCCATATGCATGCCCCCACAATCTCTCAAGTGCGCCCAAAAAGTTGATCCTCTCGCGGAAAGCAGCGCAGTTTACAAACGACCACAGCTGATCGGAGCACCTGCATATTTTTTTCCCCTATTATTTCCACAGGATTTAATTTCAAGTTTTGAAAACAAACAGCGTCTCATGAAGTCGATGTAGAGTCATAGTCATGGATATGTAAGTTCTTGCCCTAGTGGGTAATAATTCTGGATCACTGCCTTATTAGCTTATTTTCTCATTTCTTCCTTCAAAATTTGGTTTAGTTCAGTTAGATGAGTTTTGAGCTGCCCTAGCTCTTAGCTTGGGAATACTGCACAGGAATATATTGTCTGAACGATTTTATTAATTTAATTTATAAAAAAGGAGGTGCATATAAGCATGTTAGCTAGGGGCATGCAGTAAGTAGTAGTACTAGTAGTACATATCCTATTCCTATCTCTACAGCTGAGTCCCTATCAGCGCCTTTTCTGCTTTCTCCTTGCAGGGCATACAAATCTGGAACGTGGAGTCTGGAGTGTGTCCTCTAGCTACTGCAGGGACCTGGAGGCCAGGCAGGCTATAAAAACATGGTTAGGGCCGTGTTTAGATTGCCTCAAAATTCAAGTTTTTTCACTCTCTTTCTATTACATCAATTTTTGGACGCATGCATGAAGCATTAAATGTAGGTAAAAAAAATAACTAATTACACAGTTTGGTTATAAATCACGAGACAAATCTTTTGAGCCTAGTTAGTCCATGATCGGACAAAGTTTATCAAATATAAACAAAACGTGCTACAGTGTCCATATTTACAAAAATTTGTAATCTAAACAAGGCGTAGGTTATGTTGGTCTATGTGTTTGCACAGAAAGGGGCATGTCGATCCATAGTAGAAACTTGACTGGGACAGTGGAGAGGTGATGGGCTCGTTTTTCCACATGCAGCGACGAGCTAGCTAGCTAGCGGTGATGTCAATGGCGACGACGACCCATCTGGTGGATGCGTGCGTCGCCAATGCCGAGGTGGAAGATGGAGATCCCAGTGGTCGCTCTCCATTACTGTCCTACACCGTTATACTTGTACATGATGCAGCTGATGAGTAGGTTAGCTGAATGGGGAAAAATTTCCCGTTTTGGTTTGCAACAAACAGCATCCATCGATCGACGTAGTCATTCATGCATCGATCCCCTGCCACTGACACAATGCATATTGATCGATCGGCAGTATTCACAAAATTTTCTCATGATGTACAGTACTATAGCAGCAGCAGTAGTTAACTGTGATGAGTAGAGCCAAATAGAGAAATTTTAGCAGCAATTAATAGTATATGATTCGAACTCGAGAAAAAATGAGGTTTAAGAAACGCCAAACATGAAATCATATTGAGGAGGAAGCTGTTTTTCCATCATCATAACTTAATATGGCATGATGATCTGTCGAGATCACCATGCACCCAACAGCAATCCTGCTGCAGCATTCTACTACTACTAGCTAATAATAACAGTGGAGTCTTCTCGATCGATCGGCACGAACGGACACAGGATCACAAACTAACCTTCAGGTAGCTAGCTTAGAGATGGATATAGATCATCATGACGAGATGACACGGCCGACGACCTCCACAACCCTAATTAACAAACTACTCGATGGAGCAAAGGCAGACAACGACGGGCCGGCCGGCGTCGACAGCAACACAGCAGCAACTAACAATGCAAGAACAACACGGCCGGCCAGCCGTGTAGAACTACTGGAGCCAGCTAGCTATACGTGTGTCACCACACCAAGCGTAGAGATGCATGATCACCGCGCGGCGGCGGCGGACCTGCTGCTGCAGGCGGCGGCGCACAAGTCGTGCTCAATCTCGGAGACGGCGCCGTCGTCGTCGTCGTCGAGGCCGTCGGCGCCGCTGCCGCCATCGAGGTTGCAGCCGAAGGCGCCGTGGCCGTGGCCGAAGGCGCGCGCGTGGTCCTTGAGCGAGCGCTTGTGCTTGAACTCGGAGCCGCAGAGGCAGTACCAGAGCTTGCCGCAGTTCTTCTCGTGCGTGCGCCAGTCGCCCTTGACGGCGAACGCCTTGCCGCACTTGCGGCACAGGAAGGGCTTCAGCCCGTGCTTGCGCTTGTAGTGCGTCTGCAGCGTCCGGAAGTCCTTGAGCGGCCGCGCCCGCGGGTGGTCGATGTTGTTGCGGCAACCCGGCGCGCAGCAGTAGCACGGCAGCCGGAGCATTGCCGTCGGCTGCACGCCGCGGAGCGACTCCGGGCCCTTGCGGTACTGAGACCCGTGCCCCCACATGTGCATCTGCCATTGTCATATACGTAGATTTGCTTGTTAGCAGAAATGAATGAATTAACGCAACATTTTATTTGCTGTTACATCTTCGTCTTTCTTAACAAGCAAAGTTCATCTATCACTCTGATCCTAATTATATATCTATGACAAAAGATCGATGACATTGATGTCAATGTGGAAATGTATGGAGTCAAATTGAATACGTATTCACATGCTGTTCTTTTTTTCTTTTGTTATATATATGCAGTGTTTGGTGGCATAATAATCATGTGAATCTACTAGCTAGTAGCTATTAATGCACTGAGCCGGCCACTGATGTGTGAGTAGTGTATGCATGTTTGATACATTGTGCATGACCAGCCTCCTCCAAGTTAGGTCTCGTTTAAATCCAAGGAGTAAAGTTTTAGAGCATCATATCAGGTGTCAATAAGGTGTTGAATGGGGCGTTCGAATATTAATAAAAAAATGAATTATAGAATCCACCAGTAAACCACAAGACGAATTTATTAAGCCTGATTAATTCGTCATTAGCGCATGTGTGTACTGTAGCACCACATTGTCAAATCATGGACTAATTAGGCTTAAAAGATTCGTCTCGCAAATTAGTCGCAAACTGTACAATTAGTTATTTTTTTAATCTATATTTAATACTGTGTCTAAACATTTGATGAATATGAAGTAAACTTTAGAGGAGAAACTAAACAATGCCTTATATAGCTTGCTTGGAGCTGGAGTTATATTAAAGTAAGGTTAATAATACAGACAACTGCTGGCTGTATGAATCCTTGTAGCCTACTTCTCAGTCCACCCTATAATAGTTACATCTACACTATTAATACATGCACCACTTGTCTCTCTCATTAAATTTCTTAATTCTTAATGTCTTCTCTTCTCTCTCTTCTTCCATCTCTCCTCCACCTCAATATTCGGCATGCTTGCGGCCCCTTGTTATACATGCTCTTATGACCAAAGACCAAAGGTCACCTGACTGAACCTACCCAGCACTGTTCCGACTCCAGGCAGCTCTAGTCTAGGCTTTTTTTCATGCAGAGAAGGTGCATGTGTGACTTGTGAGGATCGGTGCGGTGATCTTTTGAGAGTCTGGCAACTCGCTCCAATCTAGCCTTTGCTTGTGTGTGTTTTGTACGTGTTGGTGTTGCTCCTTTAAGAGAGCAGCCAGAGTGACTGCGGCAGGCTACAGGAAGAACACTGCAGATCTCTTTGTGTTCTTGGGAGGAGTGCACGCAGGAGGAGACTCAAGACTGCCATGCCTCAGGTCATGATGCCACACAATCTTTTTCCAAACCATGAAAGCCTGCCCTGAAACAACCTGTGTATCTGCTGGCCAAATCTCATGAGCCATGACTCGTGAGTGATGAGATCAGCACCGCCGGATGCTGCTAGTGGCCTGGGCTCAGTACTTCTTGGAGACTACTAGTAAGCGAGGCCTTATTTAAATTCAGGTGTCAGAAGTTTTTAGAATGTCATCTGACGTCGTACGGGTGTTGAATACTAATAAAAAAAATAAATTATAGAATTCATGACACAAATTTATTAGATCTAATTAATTCATAATTAGCACATGTGTGTAGCACCACATCGTCAAATCATAGATTAATTAGGCTTAAAAGATTCGTCTCGTAAATTAGTCGTAAACTGTATAATTAGTTATTTTTTAGTCTATATTTAATACTTTATATATGTCTATGTCCAAATATTTGATGAAATAGGAAGTAAACTTTATCGGAGGAACTAAAGTCTTAAGTACCTGGACAATACTACTCCTATTCCAAAAGAAAACAAAAAAACCAGATGATGGATCAGAGCTAGTAAGATAGAGAGAGAAGCAAAGGTGAAATAATCTTCCCTGGGATCTCCACTGCTCCCACCCCACACTAGCTCATATGAATCTTCAAAAGGCAAGCACTCACCCAAGGAAAGCATAAAGATGCATGGTTGCATGCATGGCTTCCCCTGGCATGCCAGTCTAGTTCAATCACGTAAAAGGCAGCAGCCACTGTGCATCAGCATCTGGGCTCGAGTCTGTTTCATGGCATGCAATTAGCTCCAAAGCTAGCTACCTTGCCCGCCAGAGAACATGCATGATTGGTGACCAATCAACAATCCAAGAACCAAACTACCTAGCTAGCTCAAGAACAATAACAAGAAAACAGCAAGGAAAGAAAAAGAAACTAGGTATGTACTAGTATGGGTGAGCGAGCATGGCCATGGCACTGATCTGACCTGCATGTTGTTGTACCGGTTGAAGGTCTTGTAGCAGACGGGGCACGAGAATTGCGTAGGCCCGATGAGGATCTGCGCCGGCGTCGGGATCCAGTACTGCCCCTTGTTGAGCCTCCCGATGGGCGTCGACGCGAACCCTAACGGCACCACCTCGTCGCCGTCGCCGCCGGTGTCCACCTTGCACTCGTCCTCGTCCTCCTCGGCCTCCATGCCACCGCAGCCGGCCCTGCCGGAGAGCCCGGACAGGAGGTCAGCCTCGGCGCCACCGCAGCCGCCGTTGACGGGAGCCGGTGGCAGGCCGATGCGCAGAGCGACCGCGGCGTCGTCATCGTCCGTGGGCGCCGCGGCCTCCAGGTCCATCGGGTCGCCGTCGTCGTCGCAGCAGGAGGGCATGCAGTTGAGGTCGGCGAAGAGCGGCGCACGCGTAGAGGGAGTCACGGAACTGCCAACGGCCTCCCGTAGGACGAAGTCATCGGCGTCATCGTCGGAGTCGGAGTCCACCGCCACGTGCGGGCGCGGCTGAGCCCGGGAGGCGGCGCGCGTAGGCGACTGGGAGAGGAGGGGCAGCGCCTCTCGTAGCGGCGGTGACGGCGGGCTGTCATGGAGAGGCGGCAGCGTCGTCGGTGGCGGCTGGAAGAAGCAGGCAGAGTGGTACTGAGGCGCCGCGGCGGCGGGGTAGAGGGTGGTGTACGGTGGAAGGGGAGGAGGGAGATGGTGGGGAGCTGGGGCAGCTGGGTAGGAGGAGGTGTAGTAGTAGTAGCTGTTCTTGAAGAAGCTCTTGTAGGGGTCTTCCATGGATGGAAGGAATGGGGGTGGTTTCTTGCTGTAGGAGACTCGTTCTCCCTGCACCGAGCTTTGCTTCTGTTCTTGGCTACTGCTTGCTTTGGGGCGAGGGTGCCGTGGTTGGCAAGGGGTAGTTATAGTGCGAGAGAGGGAGACAGCGGGCAGAGGAGCACGGGATAGATTATGTGGAGTAGCAGTAGCCTTCTTCTTCTGACGGTTGTATATATTTTCTGGCAGGGGAGGCTTGATGAGCTGCAAATTTGCAATGCAGAGTATACTGGTCAGGCCAGGGTGTGGCCAGTGATCAGTGATGATCACACGTTTCTTTTCCCTTGCAGGGTACAGAGGAAATGATCATACATAATTTCTGATGTAGCATTAAGTTATAGTTAGTTGAATCATGCATGTTAAAAATATTTATTTATAATTGTGATGTTATAGTGTTCATAGCATACACTACTAGAGAACAGACTTTAGAACGATGTCCTAATTTGGCTTTAGCCTCGGTATTTTTTGCCGCCGGGACTAAAGGACCCTTTAGTCCCGGTTCGTAATACCAACCGGGACTAAAGGTCCCTGCACAACGGTCGTCCGCGTGGCAGGGATCTTTAGTCCCGGTTGGTAATACCAGCCGGGACTAAAGGTTTTAGTCCCGCTTTGGGTGATACCCCGGGAATAAATATTAATCTTTAGTCCCGGTTTGGCCACCTAACCGGGACTAATTATGTCGGCCTATACACTCATTTCTTTCTCCCCGAGCCCGAGCCATTCCATTCAAACTCACTGCCTCTGTTCTTCAGCTTGCTGTTGTTCTTGCTCTCTCCCCCTCCATTGGTATTGCTCTTCGATTTTGGAGGTAACAAACTTAATCCTCTTATATTTTATCAGTAGCTTATCTCATTTTGCGATGTAGATGCATGTGTAACTTTATATATTGGACTTTATTATGATTTTGCGATGATGATTTGCATATATGTTTGGATAAACAAAAGTCAAATTAGTTCATCAAAATCACGCCTCGCTCGTCCTCGCTGGAGCACGCGCCATCCTCGTCCCCGGCGGCTTATGTGATCTTAGAATTAATTTTTCTATGAAATGAAAAACTTAGAAAATAATTAGAAAATTGTAGAAAATTCATACTAGTTGAACTTGCGGACCGTGATCATCTCGGTGAGCATGTTTTCTGCCGAGCGGTTTAGTTAGATAAATAAATAATTTTAGTTTTGTTTAAATATATTATTTTAGAAAATGTGAAATTTATAGTAGTTTGCAAAAATAAGTATAGAAAGTAGACGACTGAGGCCAGAACTCCCTCTCATTATATGCGGCAAGTGTAAGCAGAAGATTGTGATGGAGTACCGAGTCAAGAGACAGGGACCCAACAAGGGTCGTGTTTTCTACAAGTGCCCGGATCGCGATGTGAGTTTCTTACGCATTTGATTATTATGGCTAATTGACTTGCTTTTCTTGAATATTTTTGACTAAATATTTTTTGGCTTTAATTTCAGTGGGAGGGCAATGGATGCGATGGTTGGTACTGGGAGGAAGATTATGCTACATACGTGCAGAATTCGGCTGCTGCTGATGAGTCAGTGAGCCAGCAGGAGAAGCTTATTGATATTCAACAGAAGAATGATTTGTCTGTTTTAGTTGCGTACGATCACGAAATAATTATGTTACTGAAGTGCATTGTAGTTTTAGTTTGTTTAGTGATAGTTGGGATTGCTTACGTTGTAGCCAGGCTTAGTTAATTAATCAACCGTGTGTGTATCATCTATGTTGTGTAATAAAATACTTAATTATGTTCAAGGTTTTTATAATTTGTCGTGTAATACAGATTATGTCACGCCATTGGATGTACAATGCCGATCGCCGCTCCCAAGACTTTATTGAGGGCTTGCACTATTTCTTAGGTGTGGCCGAGGCAAATAAGCGGGATGGTTTCATGTGCTGTCCATGTGCCCTATGTAAGAATTTAAAGGAATATTCAAGCTCAATGAGTCTTCATTCACATTTGCTTAAGTCAGGTTTCATGTCAAACTATATATGTTGGAGTAAGCATGGAGAAAGCGGGGTCATGATGGAAGAAGGTGAAGGAGAAGATTTAGACATTGATGACATTATTGCTCAGTATGGTGCCTTTGATGATACTACAATGGGGGGAGATGAAGAAGAGGTAGCGGTAGAAGATGATCTCGGTGATGCTCTTGGCGATGCCATTCGTGATGCACAACAAGAATGCGAAAGTGAAAAAGAGAAAGTTAAGTTCGAGCGCATGCTTGAGGATCATAGGAAGTTGCTATAACCGACGGCCGAAGAGGGGCAAAAAAAACTAGATACAACACTGAAATTGCTACAGTTGAAGGCAAAGAATGGTGTATCCGACAAGGCATTTGGGAATTTATTGAACCTCATAAAGAAGATGCTTCCGAAGCCAAATGAATTGCCCACCACTACGTATGAAGTAAAAAAGGTTGTCTGCCCTTTGGGATTAAAAATCCAGAAGATACATGCATGTCCTAATGACTGCATCCTCTACCATGGCAATGAATACGAGAATTTGGATGAATGCCCGGTATGTAAAGCATCGCAGTATAAGATCAGGCGCGATGATCCTGGTGACGTCGAGGGTGAACAACGTCCTAGAAAGAAAATCCCTGCCAAGGTTATGTGGTATGCTCCTATAATACCACGCTTAAAATGTTTGTTCAGAAATAAAGACCATGCAAAGTTGTTGCGGTGGTATAAAGAAGACCGTAAGATAGACAATATGCTGAGACATCCAGCTGATGGGTCCCAGTGGAGAGCGATAGACAGGGAATTTCCAGAGTTTGCAAATGAGGCTAGAAACTTAAGGTTCGCCTTAAGTACAGATGGTATGAATCCTTTTGGAGAGCAGAGCACTAGTCATAGCACTTGGCCAGTTACTCTATGTATCTACAACCTTCCTCCATGGTTATGCATGAAGCGGAAGTTCATTATGATGCCGATCCTCATCCAAGGTCCGAGGCAACCTGGCAACGATATTGATGTCTATCTGATGCCATTAGTTGAAGAACTTCTAGTTTTATGGAACAAATCAGGTGTACATGTCTGGGATGAGTACAAACAAGAACACTTTGACCTACGAGCAATGTTGTTCGTAACAATCAATGATTGGCCTGCTTTAAGTAATCTTTCGGTCGGACAAACAAAGGATATAATGCATGCACACATTGTTTTGATGACCTTGACAAGATATATTTGAAAAGATGTCGAAAGGTCATGTACCTTGGCCATCGTCGATTCCTTCCTTTGAATCACCAAGTAAGAAAGAAAGGGAAGCATTTTAAAGGTAAGCGGACCACCGGAAGAAGCCTCATAACCGAACCGGGAAGATGTACTGCAATGGTCAAGGATGTGAAAGTAGTATTTGGAAAGGGACAAGGCGGTGAATCTGCTCCCAAAGATGCTAAGGGACATGCACCCATGTGGAAGAAGAAGTCCATCTTTTGGGAGCTACCCTATTGGCAAGTCCTAGAGGTCCACAACGCAATCGATGTGATGCACCTGACAAAGAATATTTGTGTGAACCTGTTAGGATTCATGGGTGTGTACGGAAGCCAAAGGATTCACTTGAAGCACGCCAGACTTGCGGGGCATGAAAGAACGAGACAACCTTCATCCGAGAGAAGATGATGATGGACGTCATTACTTAAGTCCCGCTAGCTACACGCTTAGCAAAGAAGAGAGGGACAAAGATGTTCGAATGTCTAAGCAAAGATCAAGGTCCCATCAGGATTCTCCTCCAATATAAAGGGTATAATAAATATGCCAGATAAGAAATTCCTAAACTTAAAGTCCCACGACTGCCACGTGCTTATGACGCAATTGCTTCCATTTGCTTTAAGAGGAATTCTACCTCCACATGTACGTCTAGCCACCGTGAAGCTATGTGCATTCCTCAATGCAATTTCTCAGAAGGCAATCAATCCAGTGGAACTAGCTACTCTACAGAATGATGTGGTTCAATGTCTTGTCAGCTTTGAGTTGGTGTTCCCTCCATCCTTCTTTAATATCATGACACACATCCTAGTTCATTTGGTGAAGGAGATTAGTATTCTTGGACCTGTGTTCTTACATAACATGTTTCCCTTCGAGAGGTTTATGTGAGTCTTGAAGAAATATGTGAAAGTCCATTCTAAGCCTGAAGGAAGCATCGCCCAGGGCTATGGAACAGAGGTCATTGAGTTCTATGTTGACTTTATTCCTGACCTTGCCCCGATTGGCGTTCCTGAATCACGACACGAGGGGAGACTCAATGGTAAAGGAACTTTAGGGAAGAAAACATATATCGGCATGGAAGACGATTATTTCAATAAAGCACACTACACAGTTCTTCAGAATTCGTCATTGGTGCATCCGTACATCGAGATACATAAGGAGTTCTTACGATCCAAGTTTCCAGGGAAGACTGAAGCTTGGATTAGGCATCAGCACATGGAAAGTTTCAGTGGTTGGTTGCGAAAAGAATGTCAAGGCGATGACAATATTGATGAGCAACTGTATTTGTTGGCTAGGCAGCCATCATGGCATATCCTCACGTACCAAGGGTACGAGATAAATGGAAATACATTTTACACAGTTGCCCAAGATAAAAGGAGCACCAATCAAAATAGTGGTGTTCGCATAGATGGCACAGATCCAAATGAGAATATACAAACATATTATGGCCGCATGGAAGAGATATGGGAACTAGACTACGCACCTAATTTTAAAGTCCCTTTGTTCCGGTGCCAATGGGTGAAGCTGACCGGAGGAGGGGTAACAGTCGACAAAGAGTATGGAATGACAACAGTGGACCTCAACAATATTGGGTACAAAGAGGAACCATTCGTCCTTGCTGCCGATGTGAGTCAGGTGTTCTATGTGAAAGACATGTCTACAAAATCAAAGAGAGGAAAAAACGAAGACATCAACTCAATGATCAATGAGCCAAAGCGCCACATAATTCTTTCTAGGAAAATAAATAT